TTCTGAAGGGGTGATTAAGGTGTCATGCGGAAGCTTACAATTGCAAATAATATGATTGATAAATTAGATGACAAAAAACTTATACTAAAAATCAAAATATTATTATATCAAAACTAATAGAAAGAAAAACATTGAAACTTTAGAGAGAATAAATCTCCCCATAAACAAGACTCTTAAACGATTACATTGTGGATATCATTGTTATTGTGTTAGAAGAAACAAACCTATATTTATAGAGTCCTAAAAACATTTTCTTACTAGAAAATGAGTCTTAAAAAGGAGAGAATAAACCAAATATAAAATAATATTATATTTTCCTTTCAAGAAAAGTAAAAACATTTATGGTAATATTTTGTTTTTTCTTTAAGGAAAAATAAATCTTAAATTATGGTAAGAAAATCAGGGCAAAACCCTAACAGATATTCCTAAAATGCAAGCCTCTTGTCTAAGAAGAACCTTATTTCATTAAGAGTATTTTTGCAATAGTTAGCTTCGGCTATAAATAACGAAGAATAACTCTTTAAGACTTCAATTATTTTAATATATGTATTGAATTCTCATGAATTGAGTATACTCTTGAGGAAGTCTAACACTAAAATCATAATTGCTAGAAAATGTTGATCCCTTGATGAGATTGCTTGCTAGAGGAAATTAATCTTTCCTCTTTAGAGTCATCTCTATAGTATAGATGTTTGTTTTGATGTTATTAATATGAGGTCTTGATTTTGATATAGTCATGATTGCCTATTATTTCCATTTTTGTGTCTTGCTTTTATAGGATTGGTGCTTTGTTGAATCAAGTCAATTGAAGGTATGGATTGATTTATAACCATTGTATTCAATTCTCTTCCATTTTATGTCTCTTCTATCATTTATCTTTTGTTTATCTTTTTTTTTTTTGTTCTTAGTGTTAAGATTTTGATTTTCGTATCACGATATTTTATCAATAAATACTAATTGATACAATTCTAAGAGCGGAATAAGAAAAACAAAGATTTTTTAAAGAAAAAAGGATAGAAAGGTAGAATAAATGAAATCAAACACAATCAAATCTATTAAGTGAATTGACCTCATAAGAATATTCAAAGGGAATCTAACCTATTAAAAGGACCTCAAGGGAATTAGATTCTCATTCTTTTCATATTCAACATAATCAAAAGCTTCAACAAGCTCACAATGCTCTCAAAGAGTATTTAGTATTCAACAATCAAGGTATTCTAAGATCCTATTTGATATTGCTAATCAAAACTGTTTATTTTTAGAAGCATTTTAAAAAAATAGCTTTTCAGATAAGTGCTTTAGAAAAAAAAAAACAATTTGTGTTTGGCCAATTCATTTGAAAAGTGCTATTGATAAGCAATTTGTGTTTAACTAATATTTTTTAAAAGTTTTTTTAAAAGAGTTTTTGAGAGTCAAATTACGAAAAAAGGCACGTATCAATGTACTTTTAATATTAAAATTATTTTATAAAGAAAAACCATTTTAAATTTCTATTATAGAAAAATAATTAATTTTTTATTTTTATTAAATTAAAATGTACATTTCAAATTTTCAATCAATACTATACTTTATTCTGGGAGGGCTGGAATCTTTAATTATTTTTTTCTAATCTTGCAAAAATATTGTTGTTAACCGTAATAAAATAAAATATAAACGTAAAATAAAATAAAAGTTTGTTATATAAAATAAAGAATAAAATTTAAATGAAACTCAATATTAATAAGAGATATATTGGTAAATATGTATATATGGAAGCGATATGTTAGTCTTGAAAAAAAAAAAATTTCTGCTTCTCACTTTTTTTTAAAAACAGAAATTTTTAGCTTCTTACCAACAACAGAAAAACTTCTTTTGCTTCCATTTAAAAATAATTTTATTAATTTTCCAAACACTTAATTTTTCAAAATAAGTACTTTTTATCTCAAAATAAATGCTTTTGGCCTTCCAACAACAATGGAAAACAAGCTCTAAGTCATTTTGTAATTTGTAATTTTGGATAAGTTGAAAATAATTTCAGTCATGACAGATTATCCTCAAACATTTTAACTAATATTTAGCCAAAAAATTGATTAAGAAGAGCAAATGATAAAAATCTGACACCAAACTAGTTGAAAAGAGCAATAAATTAGCACCAAAACTGAACCAAACAACCACAAAAGCACAAAGCAATTTTCAGATTTTATATCACAAATGCAAAGAAAAAAACAAACATTATCTAGATAGGAAAAATTGAAACACCAGAAACCAATCTAGAGTACCTTGGAACTAATTAGATGATGTTGGAACAACAAGCCCAAATGTATCCTGCCAAATCCAAGTAGCCGAAATCTTTTCCCAAGATGCTAGAAAAAGTTTCGAATTTTCTGAACCAACATCTTGAGCCCTAGTGGCTCTGATACCATGAGAGTTAACAAAACTTCATATTTTATCATAGGGGAAATTATATAACTAAACTAACATTAAATAGATAATTATGCTACATGACTATAATTTTAATTAATTATAGAAAAGGGTTATTGTTTTAGAAAATGGTTATGATGGGTCTCACATTTTTATATTAGATCGTGTATATTTCTATTTCCCATTTATACAAATCTTTTCACACTTTCTCTCTAACCTACCCACTTAATTGACTCCTCAATTATGTTATTCTCCCATAAATCTCTCAACCAATTCAATTTTCAAAATTTTAAAATTTTGAATCAACCCTCATAATCTTGCAAAATCAGGTGATCTCCATTTAGTTTTTTTTTTTTAAAAAAATCTCATCAGTTTTTGATATTTTTTTGTATTTGTATAATTTTCTCAATTTTTTTTTGTTTTTTCATATTCCTATAGCCAAATCTTGATTCCTTGGGTACAATCATTCTAATCATGGAGGAGCAATGTTCATCAAAGAGAATCACTAGAAGTATACATTTGCATGCAACAAATTCGATTGGAAATCCATCTTTTACGTTGAGTTTAATTCAACATTTTGAAGCAATTGCATGTTCTATTACGAAATCTAATGATATTTGATTCAAACATTGCAAAGAAGAAGATGAGATCTAAGCTTCTCAATGACCCCATCAATACTGGGTTAAAATCTCCAAAGTAAAAAAGACAAGAGGAAAAAAGAGTTAATGTTACCGATTTGATGATTCCTATAAAAGAAACAAAAGTACAAGAATCATGATTATGTTGCAATGGATTAATTAACATGAATCATATGATTTTGAGGTATAGCCCTGTTTTCTCTTCTTTCTTTTGTATATCGATAATTTAAGTTGTATATGACATAATAAATGAATTGTAATTAAGAAAACTAGCATTTGTATATATTACATAATTAATAATCTGTTGTGTTATTGTTTATAGTTATACAAGTTCAATTGACATATACAAAACTATACAAGCAATCAAAAATTACTCAATTATATTCATTTATTGACTTAAAATATATAATGAATTGTATAAAATCTATCTAATATACAAAACAAACATTAACATATACAAACTGATACAAGTAATCAAAAATTACTCAATTATATACACTTGTTGACTTAAAATATATAACGACTTGTATAAAATCTATCTAATATACAAATCAAACAATAACATATGCAAAACTGATAAAAGTAACAGAAAAATTACTCAATTATTTACATTTGTTGACTTAAAATATATGACGACTTGTATAAATTCTATCTAATATACAAATCAAATAGTAACATATACAAAATTGATAAAGTAAGGAAAAAATTCATAAATCACAATATGTTTAGACACAAAATCACCCACGACTTGTATAAAATCTATCTAATATACAAATATAACCGTAACATATACAAATTGATACAAGTAACCAAAAAATACTCAATTATATACAATATGGTTAGACAAAATCACACACAAACAAACTTAGTCTGGAATTCTATGCAAATTATATACATCTACAAATTATTTTCAAACAAATCAACTACTTCATATCTTAATACCAGTCTAGCGGATCTTAATACAAATTAAACACGAATTAATCAAGAAATATATAAAAATACATATACATAGAAGAATATACTACTTGTAATGGATAGATTGTTGTGTTTATCTTTTTGTTGTTTAAGCCACAAAAAGAATCAATTGTTTCCGTTCTACTACTGAAGAAGCTTTGATTGAATGAAAACAATGAATACTCTGCGTTTCCTCATGAAGAAGAACACTTATTTTGGTAACGTATTCTAATTAAACTAAATGACCTTTACTTAAAGAATTATTTTCCTTAATTACCACATAATCAATTAGATATAATTAAATAAGATTTTGTATAATTAATTATAAAAAGGACGAATTATACAAATCAGAATCATAATAGCTATTTAAACTATAGCTATGATGCACAAATAGGCAAACTATATTTAATGAGGCCTATTATGTTTCCCACCGTAACTATTTATGAAGTTTTCCCTTTATTATATCAGCATTACATGTTCATATACACTAGCAAGAAACTCTATCAAAAGTAAGAAAATATTCTACAGATCTCTCCTATGATTCAACTAACTATATAAGGTACTACCTCTGTCCCAATTTATGTGACACATTTCGCTTTTCGAGAGTCAAACAGTTTAAGTTTGACCGAGAATTTGCTCATGAAATTTTCAATTTTTTAAAATGAAATTTATATATTTGTAAACTACACAAAAAGTACTATAAGTCTCAATAATTGATAATACAAAATATTTAAAAGATATAGGAAAAATTTACGATCAAAGATAGACATGTTTGAATCTCGACATCCGAAATGTGCCACATAAATTAGGACAGAGGAAGTAATATATTTACAATGTTCTGCACAACCTATGATGGTTGTGGTGCAGTGGTGGGAATGTTTCACCCTTAACCAGAGGTCTCGGGTTCGAGCCTTGGGTATGGAGAAAATCCTGTTGGGAGCGCTACCCTTGAATGGGCCCTGCAGTGCGCGATCCGGATTTAGTCATGGGCTCGGGGTGGGAAACCAAAATAAAAATAAAAATGAACTATATAAACTTGTAACACTTGTAAATGCATCTTACTATGATAAATTGTAGATTTACAAGCATTTTACTCTAATACAGTGTCTGTACAAAGAAACATGGATTGAAAACTGTACAAGTTTGTTTATTTTCTAATTTCTGTTTAGTTCTTCTTCTCTCTCTCTCTCTCTATATATATATATATACATGTATAGTTGTAAGCTGTTGCTTGCTTGATCTTTTCACCTGTCCTGCAGCTAACGTGACGATGTGTTTTTGATGCTATTATGCTAAAGTTGCCCAGAAACTTGTTACGCAGAGGCTAGTAGGAGTGCCAATCGTACGTGACCATGTCCAATCTGTATTTCCTGTCCGTCGCATTTCTGCCAACTAAAGTCATGGGATACAAGAGTTTAAAATACAAAACAACGTTAGTGATTTCTTCTAATTTGCTTAAACCATGAAAGACAAAGTTACTCAGTACCGGTGCTGGTAAAAGGTAACAAGTACCTAGTGAAATAGTATGGTTACTCAACTTTATATAGTGACTTTGTTGTTATAGTGTGTAAAGTAAAGTTGCTTTAGTTGACAAAAAATAATTTTGTTACTTGATCGTTGTAACGGATAAAGTTGAGTGACTATACGCATTCCAGTTAGTTCTTTGGCATCAATAATATGTTTTACTAGTAGCTTTGATAATGTCAGATTCTATCTGTTAAAAGAGAAATCAGTATTATGAGTAAATTTTTATAGCAATTCTGGGAAGTTTATGAAATGATAAAACTTTTCAAACCTCTAAACATTCAAGTAGAGTTCAAGTTTACATACTCTGCCATCTCTGAGCTCAAATATGACTGAATCTTCCGAAAAAGGAATCGGTCTTGTAAGTGCCACCTGTTTATAAACCAATGTATGACTATGACAATAGAGACTTTGTTGCATGGATAAGTATTCACTGCTGTTATGTTAGGCTTCATAAAGATGTGCTATACCAACGTAACTGCATCTAGGCGATGGCTCATATAGAATTTGTGGGTTCTGAAATATAGATTTTAGACTATGTATACCCGAAGCTCTAGGTTCTACAGAACTCGCTAACCCGTGGTTGGGTAGTTCATGTAACATAGCCCAAATACTGTTTAGTATTCAAAAAGGTGTGCCCATACCAATGTTTTACTTATTGGATTATAAGTCATTCGACTCATTCACATCCGGATCATGAATGTTTGGACTCAAAATTATGCAAAGGGATGGAGAGTCCGTATAACATAGTCCAAATATTCAAGAAGCAAGTAGAGGAATTGTAAATAAACACTAACCTTGGAGTCACAGTTTTTGTTTAAGGCTTTGGAGGTTTTTCTTCAATTTTCTCTAAACGATCTGCAAGATCATCGGAAGTACAAGTTTCTTTACGATCATGATTATCAGAGACATGTTTTTCATTTGCCATATATGGGAAGCCACAGCTTCTCCATTTCCATGTTCCATTGTCCAAGAACCTTAGATACACTTTTCCATCTGAACCTATTAAGAACAGATGAGCACCTGTGAAGCATGGTCCCGGTGAACCAACAAGAATGACACTTGGATCTGGTGTTCCGTGTTCTATCCAATTCCATCCGTTGGACGGATTCCAATTATATTCAACTAGTCCACCATCTGCCGAAAGCATGAAAAGAGAACCTTGCAGTGACAGTGAAGATAACCTCATTGCAGTTCCAGGAGATCTTGATAGAACCAAATGTTGAGATTGGTAATGCTCATGCCATAGTTCAGTAACTTTGTTATACTGGTATAAGCGTCCGTTCCTTCCAATGACAAACACCACGTTCTCTCGGAGCAGTTCCTGGTCAGCAATGCTTGCAATCTTTGTACTGGCTGGGTACCGACAATCTTTCCATTTGAACTTTCTCAGTGCAACCTAAGAAACAGGTTATGACACTTTAGCCTTCATTTTATCAATATTTAGACTGGAAGCTTAGAAATTTCAGGATATATAAGCTTAATACCACTCATTTTAGCCTTCATTTTATTAGGCTGAAAGCATTCTTCGTATACTCACCTTTTGAACCTCTAAACTAGAAAAGTGGACATAGTGTATGCTACTTACTGCAAATTGTAGCAATCTCCCACTTTTGCTTACAAAGAAAAGTGCATCTTCTTTTCTAGCATTTCGAGATTTCCCTGGTAGATCGTCCCACGGAGGACCTCCGATTACTTGCCTTCCTTTCTTCATAGCAGTGCAATTAATCCATGCTAGTTCAGCACTATCTCTTTCTCTGATGAGCAAACTCCGTTGCTCATCAACCAAAAACAAACTTCCATTATAGTTCCCAAGGGCACCTCTCATAGCTGTTGGATGATCATGCCTAAGCCAGAACCACACATTATCAGAATTTAGATACTCGAAAATCAGACCACCCTCCGTTATTAGGAAGAATGATTTTCCTTCATGCATCACCCTCAGATGGAAATTTTTGTTGATCCAGTTATCCGGGATATTGTAGTCTCCCTCGGGTTCAGCAGCTTTCCTAGCTGACATATCAATTGATATGTAACTGTATTGTTCTTTGCTTGTCCTTCTCCTTCTTGCTGTCGATGTCGTGAGATCAAGTTCATTGTTTTCATCTTTGATGCCTGCAATGCAATTCGACGGTCCATGTTCTTCAGTGCAATACTCTGCATTCCATCCTTCTGTTTCTGGGGCATCTACTAGAAACCATACATACTTCTGTGATGATCTTCTTCTGGCATTAATTTGATAGTTCGGTCCGGAACTCTCATCACCGAGACCGGATAGGCGAAGCTCTCCAAGCCTACCATCATCAAGTGGGAAAATAATTCTGCCAGGATGCAATTGCACTCCTGGAATTCCTCTTGCAGCCTTGGCATAAGGGGGATAAACATGATTGATCCAACTTTTTGTAGTATCATCCTCTTGGTCAATGCCTGTATTCATGTCAAAGATTCAATTTTTCGAGGCAGATTAATGGTTGAATACTGTATCTGTTGCTAAGTAATGAATTAACACATTTAAAAGGAGAAGAAGAGTTATGTCAAAAACATACCTGAATGATCTGGAATTCGATATTCGAAAATGTAACCAGCTGCAGTTGTAAGAAACAATGAGTTTGAATTTTCAGCCAAGTTTTCTTCAGAAAGGCATGTAATGGAAGACAGGACATGATCTTTTGGATTTCCATGATTAATCCATTTCCATTTCCTTTGTTGCGACCGTCTCTCTATTAAATATCCTCCCTTCATATGTTCAAAAATTTACAAGAAAAGGGAAGTCAAAACTATATGTGTTGCATAAAAAATAGATAGTGATGTTAAGAGATGGGAGTGTAGGCATGAAAGGAACCAGAAAACCACTTTGGTAGATCAAGTTTATCTAATAAATGGATTCTTGACTTAGGCGGAACATTAACTTACCCAGTGAAATCCCACTAAGTGGGATCTGGGAAGAGTAGAGTTTACGCATACCTTACCATTACCTCGTGGAGTTAGAGAGGCTGTTTCTGAAAGGATTCTTGACTTAGGTATATTACTAATTCACACCATACATTGATAAATTCAGGGGAAAATTGGAGGATCATGTAATTTCATCAAGCAATTTACTATAAAGTTGCAGTGATCTCATTTTAGCACTCTTCGAACAGTTTCCTATTTGTCCTTCCAGCAAGAGGGAAGTCTTTCGAGACATGAAGTCCTTGCATTATTTTATTATCAGCTGAAAAGTTTCTTTTACTTATGACTGTTAAGACCATGTATGGGGGTTAACACCTGCTCACTGGAACTTTTCAACGAGTCCTCCATCAGTAGTTGTGAATAGTTAACGTGTTCCACTTATTGAGCAAGGTTCTATGGCTGATACGTGACCCCTAGGGTGCTGAAGGCATCCTTATGGTAATCTCGTAGTTCCTACGGGGTAGAGATGATGGGATCAGTCCACTAAGTTTCCTTGCTTTTCTTAATACAGTGTTCTTTTTGTTAAACTATAGGTGATGGACTAAAAAGAGCTTTTTACCTTAGCCAAGAGAAACAAAGATTTTGAAATAGCTCCATTCACTCCTTTTAAACTGCATCCTAGAGATGGTTTCAGAGAAGTATCTTGATCAGAAGACTCTTTTTGTATATGCTTCTTCCATGATGGCCTTGAGCGCTGATCGTATTCATAAAGATCTCCTGCAGTACTGTTGAAAAAATGTTACATCAATTAGGCAAAGAATAAGAGTCATTTTAACCAAAAGAACTAGGATCCTTTTTGCTGTTTTACCTAATTGTAAAGACTACTTCTGATATAAATGTAGATGCATCCGCGATTGCTGCAACATTTGCTCCGGGAGGTTTTCCATGATTAGTCCACCTAATTGCATTTGAAAGCAGACATTGATGTGTGTTCTTTCTAATGATTTAAGCTTTTAGATGTGACGATCACACACTTCAACAAAGACGACCATAGTCAATCATATATATGAGTGGTTCTCACCTTATGAGATCAACCTCAGTGAGTTCTAATAAAGTTCCATTCTTTGTGAAGAAATATATTCTCCTGATGTTGATGGACAAATTCAAGGTGTTATTAGCTTAGCCTGGAGCTCACACAAGTCACAACTATCTGCAGTAACATAATTTAACTTTGTTTTTCCTCAAGAAAATCCTCAATATCGAAATAGTCAAGCGTACGAATATACTATACTCACTTCCTATCACTGGATACAACTCCTGACACAATCTGAATTAGTTCTGTTTCTTTACTTGTTTGATGATCACTTGCTGGTGTAATATTTATCCAAACTGGCTGATCATCACTTAGCTGCAACTGTGGGAAAATAACATAGCAACACCAAAGGTAAATAAACATGAGAATTATATAATCTGATACAATTCCAAGCAAGTTGGCTTCAACTATATGAATCCTCACTATCCATGTTGCTCCATTTAAAGACCGACACTACCATATTATAAAGGAGACAATTCCAAGCAAGTTGGCTTCAACTATATGAATCCTCACTATCCATGTTGCTCCATTTAAAGACCGACACTACCATATTATAAAGGAGATTCACAATCAGATATCCACTAAATTTTATACCAAATGAAGACAAACAGAAAATACTGATTGAGTGTTTTAATCTGATACTGCTATTACCATTACAACAACTAGAACAACAATGATTATGTCTCAATCCCAAGTAAGTTGGTGTCGGCTTACGTCGTCGCTCCATTTAAGCCCATCACACTCCAATATTATAAAATAAAAGAGAATTCTGATCCGATATTCACTAAAACTTATCAGATAGTTGAATAAAGAACAACCCGGTGCACAAAGCATCCCGTGTTGGCAGGGTTCGGGGAAGGAAATGTAGACAGCCTACCTAATGCAAGCATTAGTGACTTCTTCCATGGCTCGAACCCATTACTCTAAGGCACCCCTTATCAGATAGTTCAATGATTACCTTACACGTTTATATGAATGTTCAAAAGGTTACCTGATAGATATATCCTGATTCTGATAGAGCAAGAATTGTCTGATTGACCATGAAAACAGAAACTGCATACCCTGCTGATATTGACAAATCATGAGGTGCTACAACCCACTGCAATCCATTCCAAAATCTTTCATAGATTGATCCACTTACACCAGTGATCCAGATAGATGCTTCAGACATTTTTGTCAAAGAAACTCTTTTTCTCAAAGGAAGATAAGGATAAGAACTTCCCTCATCCTTAACTTTAGTAAAGATCTCATCTTTTTCAGGTTCTTGATTAGTCTGATCAATTCTATTGACTTTAGTACAGTTATCATTGAAACAAGACACTAAATCATAAGGCAAATCCACTTGTAACCAACTGTTGGATTGCTCATCATACTCCCAAAACTTGTTGGTTTTCAACTCAAATTTCCTCTGAGCTTGTCTTACATATTGTTGCACAAACCATGACTCTGACTCAGATTCTGAAATAGTCACACAGCCAAATAATGACAACATAATGAAAATCTTGATCAAGAACATGAGATAAAAACAGTACAACTTGAACAACATGGTTCTTGGAGACATAACATCATGAACAAGGTATGCACATACTTAAGTCCATATGGGGGCCATAGCAGAATAGACTTCACTTAAACCATTACATGTAAGTTATAGCCAATATTCTTCAAGATGGGTAGGCCAGGGGAGGTGGGGTGAGTAGGGTGGGGGGGGGTATGTGTTTGTGTATATAATTAAAAATATCAAGTAGCTTGAAACTGGTATATGACTATATGTATAGGTTCTTAAATTCTTAACTACCTATCTAGTTCAACCAATAGTTTTTTTTTGTCAATAAAAATGGTAATAGACTTTGTGATAGGATGGCTGTTATTTAACTTGTAATATAGCTTTGTATTGATATCCTTGTAATTGCTTCCTAACTTTATCAGGTGCTTTAATGCTTTTCTTACCTAAAATTGAGGACTTTCCATAGTTTTTAGATTGTGATGTTAATCTAATGAACGGTACAAAAATTACGAAAGATTAGAGCTTATCTAATAAAGACAAAAAAGAGTTTGGTACTAATTTTTTCTGACTGAGCAGAATTATTCGATATCTGTGCGGCTTGTGAAAGGTAATATGTATCTAAAGGAATAATTGAGATGCACATGAATTGACTCGAACACAACTATTTCATCCATAATTTTCATAAATCACATTTGTGAATATCTTATATACAATTTTGATTCTTGTGGACCTTATTTTATGGAATCTTTCAAGATTTAATAATTGAGGATCACTTTTGCCCCCACTATCTCTCACCCCTTACCCCACCCCCAAACCCCAACACACCTAAAAGTAGTAATATTTCATAAGTATCTAATTTTTTTTTGTTTTTCACTTGCTCTCTGGAAATCGTATTGGAGCCCCGACTATATTCAGATCAAGTACTGCAGGGTTCATTTGGGGGTGACCCTCCCAACAAGATTTTTTCCATATCTAAGGCTCGAACCCGAGTGAAGCAGTTTCGTCACTGCACCACAACCCATATTTTTAAGTATCTAATTTGTTGTTCTGTATAGGCAGTGTTTAGTTGGCACAATTGGTACCAACAGACAGGAATAAGATTCATACCCTTTTAGTCCTAGTATTTGGTTCTATTCCCTAGTGAAAGCCAATAACAAATTTTATGACTTTTTCCAAATGGACATGTTCATTTGAATAAAATCAATAGCACTAGATAATTTCTTTTCACCATCGAAGATCTAAAGAATAGAATTATTTAACAGGATACTAATGAAAGGAAATAGGTACCTATTGAATAGTTAAGGTGCCCAAATTGATTTGATAATTAAAAAAAGGGTGATGGGCTTCACATGAATTTGACTTTTTGTAAAATATTATAAATGATTCTTTTAGTAGTATATTATGAATCATGGAATCAATTTTTCTTCATTTTTAGTCAGTTTTATAAATTATTATTCCTTCATCAACACCTTTTGTACCCATAATTTCATTTTTGATTTACATTTTTTCATCAAGGAAATAATAGACTAAAGTTGGGTGAAAATTTGAAGCACAAAAGCAATTATGAAATTATTGAAAAAAAGTTTACTTCTCTAACCATTGGATTGTATTTTGTTAGTCAACTACTAATTTTGCGTCCACACGTAACAATATTGAACCCTTCTAAAGGAAATACGTACGACTAATGATTATAAAAATCTTAATATTTTGTAAGGAAACAACAAATGATATTATTAGGAACTAGTATTTATGTTGGTGCGTTGTGCGAATATTTTTAAATGCCATAATTTTAAATTAAATGTGATATTGCTTATGAAAGATTTAAATATATAACTTTTTTTAATTGACTGACGATAATGATAATGATTGATTTAAAAACTGTCATAGTTGTTAAATGAATTCTAAATTTTAACAAACTTGTAAGGTAACTATGTAAAAGTGAGTTAAAACGTACTGAAATTCAACATTATTAAAATTCGTTGTTTTTTTTTTTAGTTATATATCTATTAAAAAAGATTACCCCCCATTCCCTAACCCCCACACAAAAAAGATTCATAATTTTTTAAATTTTATTACTTATTTTACAATCAATATTTTATTTTTTAATTTGTTTTTTAGTTATCTTTTTTTTTAAAAAAATTACTCTCTTATCTCCAGAAGAATGGATTTGAAAGAAGCAATGATGAGTCAACTCTCTATGTAAAAAATCAAGGTAAAACTGATTTCTTGGTGATGTATCTTTATGTAGATGGTATGATCTTATATGAGCTCTTGTGAATCTCTTATTGCTTAATTTAAGTCTTTCATGACAAAATGTTTTGAAATGATAAACTTAGGGTTGTTGCATTATTTTTTTGGTCTTGGGATTAGTCAAAGTTTAGATGACATTTTGGTCTCGGAAAGAAAATATGCAACTTATCTTCTTAGGAGATTTAACATGTTGGGTTGTAAGATAGCTTATACATCAATGAATGTAAATGAGAAGTTCATATCTAATGATGATACATGTTTGACGGATGCTCGTTTCTTTAGAAGTATAGTTGGTGGTCTGAATTATTTGTCGCACACATGACCCAACATAGCATTTTCTATTAGTGTGATTTTCAGATTCATGCATAACCCAACAAAGCATCATTTTGGGGTAGTAAAACAGATTTTACGAGGAATTACTGATTTTGTAATTTGATATTCTTAAAAATCAGATTTTAGATTGTTTGGTTTCACTGACAATGATTGGGCTGGTTGTATGAAACATAGAAAAAGTACTTCCGGATATGCATTTTCTCTTGGTTCACTGACAAATTTTTTCGTGAAAACAAAGCAACTATTGTAATGACGAAAAATTCGACATTACTGATAGCAAGTGAAAGCATTATGTTGAAGCGTTGTGGCACAAATGAGCAAATTGTTGATATTCTAACCAAAGCATATCCAGTTGGAAAGTATAAGTACTTCATAAGAGTGACAAACTTTGAAGCAAGGGAGAGTGTTGATTAATGCTTCAAAATAATCGATTTTATTCCTAGTTTTTAGGTAGTAAAAAAAATAGTGTTGTTCAGTAATTTAACATGAAGTTGTTTGTTGTTTTCTAGTTGACAAGGTAGCGTTAATGAACATGTTTATCCACTCTCTTTTTTTAGTTGCTTATTTTTAGCCAATGTTAATTAATTGTAAGCCTATCTAATAGGCCATTACAGTAACTATTATTATAGTAAACAATAATATCTTATCTTTTGTTTTCTTGGTAGGTGCAAACATAAAACAAATAATTATACTTAATCCTAGTGCTAGATCGATAATTTACAGTGCCTCATATTCACAAACCACTTCTATCATCAAGTCGATTCGATATGAATGGAGATTATGCTTCTTCGGTAGAACTTGGTAGTGGGAGAGAAAATATTTGAACTCTACTAGTGGAAGTACGTTCGATTCCTGCAAATAATTCCCTTCTGGTCCGTGAAGATGGTAATTTTTATTATTTCATAACTAAACTTGGTATTCTGGTGTAAGAGAGGTATCGTGTTAGAGAGAGCATCAAAATGAACTAGTAGTAAGTTTTAAAACCACGGATCAGTTCTTTCATGAAGCTCTCTCTCAGGCCAAGAGTCGAATTGTTCTGTTACAAACAGAGGAAACAAGTGCCACTACAAGAAAATAGTTAATTACATGGGGATTTTCCTGGGGATTAGTATGAAAATTTGCAGGATAGAATCACCACTTATAAGTAATCAAAATATAGTTAATAAGACAACTCGTGTATTAGTTCATTTCGTCTTTGAGCAAAGAGGTTAAAAATCTAGCACTCAATATTTTGCAAGAAATCGAACTGTCATGAGTTAATACAGCAGAAAGTATCCTTCTGTCATTTATCTCATGTAATAGACAAGTTAACACAAAGACTCTTGACGTTTTTCGGTATTTGGGAACTCTTTAATACGACACTCTTTCTTTTTAGTTTGGGAGCTCTTTAACTTTAAAAGTGGTACACTTTCATAGAAATAAGAGTAGGATTAACTGCACCTTCACCTCGTAAGAGTAGCACCCCGACCTGAGAGTCGTGCACTCTTCATTGTATCTTTGCAGCTCGACAACTCCAACGTATCTCAAGACCTTCATATACATATCTATTTTGTCAGATAAAAAACAGCATAGATACAAGTAAATAAAACATAATAATAAAAGCTTGTGAGTTGCTGAACTAAGATAAAATCACACAACAATTAACGATTTATGTGGCCTAATCCAACGTCACATACTTGAGCAATTAGCAATATATACCTACCTATATTTGATCTAAAATCCCGGGCTTGTGGGAAAGAACTGCATTGGGATTGAAGATACCGGCACTTCTACTTGAGACCTTTGTTTCTTAGAAGAGGAGCAACTGGTCTCTTCATTTCTGCTCCTCCTTATCCCTATGCAAAGCTCAGATTCATCTTTATACAACAAACGAACTCCAAAAGCCTTCAATTCTCCAAAAAATAAACTAATAATCCCATAGTCATTTGGTTGTTTTCCATTTGCATTAGATGCATCCCATAAGTCAACAAGAGGTATCAAGAAGAAATGAATAGTACATTGTGCAGCACATTTTGAATGGTTGGATAAGGCAAGTTTCCAGGTCATCCCATCATCACATAATAACGGAATCAAGTGAGCTGTGATGTCAGTTAATTTGCCAGAGTAACATACAGCAAATCCCAAGAAGTTATCCGATACATACCAATTCTCAGGCAATGAGACTGATACACTTGTATCCAGCCCCTGATGGTGAAACCAACTTGGGATATGCTTTGCCCAACTCGTAAACACTCTTAGTGACAAGGAATGTGAATCAGAGATTTCATGCTGCAATGATGAGATATTCTGAAACAACGAATCACAGATCGAATCATTGCTCCAATCTGCTTTAATTGTATCTAATTGCTGTGGAAATTCTGGCAGCTGCGTAAGCTTCTTGCAATCTGATAAGTCTAAGAACCGAAGAGAACCAAGCCGGACTATGCTTCGAGGCAAATACTCAAAATTATTTCCACAGAGATGCAACTTTTTCAAAGAGGATACAATGTCTTTGAAAAATCCTCCATCTATTAAATTGCAGTAACTGAGATCCAACGTATCCAAGTATTGCATCCCCATGAGACCTGGCAGCTCTTTGAGCCTCGTGCAATTTAATAAGTACAAGGATCGAAGAGCACTGAGTTGGGCTATTCTTCGAGGCAAATACTCAAAATTATTTCCACAGAGATTCAACTCTTTCAAAGAGGATAAGCATCCAATGTCTTCCGGAAGTCCTCCATCTATTAAATTGTAGTAACTGAGATCCAATTCTTCTAATGAGAGTAACCCTTCATTCACCTGAGGGAACACAAAGTACACTCTATCTTCTGATTCTTCTTTTGCAAAAGTCAATAATTTAAGCTTGTTCAACCGGATGATGGAAGACGGAGGTCGTGAGATTAGAGTATAGCTAGCATTAAGCTCCACCAATTTTTCTAAATCACCTATCTCTTCTGGCATGCTTCAAGTTTCGAGCAATGTGACACAATTAGCTTCACCAAACCTTTCAACTTACGAATGCTACTAGGAAGAGATACAAGGTTATTCATAAAATGAAAATCTAGCTCTGTAAGATTAGCTCGGAGAATAGATAATGGCAGTTCCCTTATCCCAGAGCATGACATCCTAATCTTTAACTCCGGCTTCATTATTCCGAGGATTTCTGGAAATTTCTCTAAACTAGAGCAGTGTAGTAGCTCCAGAGATTCAAGAGATTCCACATTAACATATGGAAACCTCAAAAGGCTTTCACACTCATACAAATGTAACTCAATGAGTTTTCTGGAATATCTCAGGGAATGGTGAACCTCTTCAAGACTCGTACATTGACCTAGATTCAAATACTCCAAATTTGGCATCCCCTCGAAATCTGGTGTTCTCTTCAGGTTTTTAGAGCCCCTTAGATCTAGCCTCCGTAGAAACGACAATTGCTGATATTCAAAACATAGAAAGAATGATGAAAAACTTGTGAAATTAGAAATTGTTTATTCTAGGACGAGACAAAATAGAAAGTATCTCAAATAGAACAGTACCTTAGTTTCATTCCATAAATGATGCAACGAACTTTGCTGGAGATCAAGATGAACAATCCTTCTGGGACTAAAATTTTCTGGCAATAACTTCCAAGGATAGTTATACCAGACAAACCAACACAAGGTATTCGGTAAGTACTCAATCGAGTCATTTTGTGAATCACTTTGGATACAATCGCCCACATAATGTATGTATAATATCCTAAGCCTTTGCATATTTTTTATTGCCTCTTTGTTAAAACATATTTTTTCGTAATAATTAAACCAGATTGCTTCCACTGTCATGCTCCCCTATAAAAAGATCACGAGTCAACATAACATATCAATATATATGTCTTTGGAATATGAGTACTATTATTGTTTAGACTACTCACCGTATTGTCCACCATCACTTTCGCGAAATCTTCAACATCCCATAGTCTGCTACGTTCACCTGGATGCTTTTGCATTTTCACTATGTATTTACCCATATCTTCAATCAAGTCATGCATTTCAATCGTATCATCTTTAGAGATGAACACAAGAGATTTGTCAATTAGGACATTCAATCCGTATTCAGCTCCAAAATCACAGCTCTCAACGATTTGCATGACTTTTGTTCTTTTTTCTCTACGGAAGAAACATGCAATATCTAGGAATATCTCTTTCTCTTCGGGCTCCAACCCATCAAAACTTATTTTGAGTTTTTCAATAATTTCTGAATTGGAATTTTTCTTTATTTGGTCTACTGTTCTTCTCCACTGGGTTAGACCTTTCTTATGCAACAAAGAACCCCACACCTTGAGGGCTAAAGGAAGGCCTTTAGCGTGATTTACTACCTCCAACGAGAACTTCTTAAAACACACATCTGGAATTTCTTTTTTGAAAGCATGTTGATTGAACAATTGCATAGCTTCATTATCCGGTAGTGTAGGCACTTCGTATATTGCATTATCTTTCTCTATCAAATGTCTATTTCTAGTTGTTACAATAACTCTGCTACCCTTACCAAACCAACAAAGATCACCTGCTAAATACTCCAAATGATCACAATGATCTATGTCATCAAGCACAATCAACACCTTCATAGAAGAAAGTTTGCTCGAAATCATACACTTCCCATCATACTTATTATTGACGTAATCATCTTTTTTTCTTAAAAGTTCAGATAGAAGGATATTTTGTAAAGAATGGAGTTGATTCTTTCTTGCATTTTCTTTAATATCCGCAAGAAAACAAGCAGCTTTAAATTGATAAGATAGAGTATCAAAGATGACTTTTGCTATTGTCGTTTTACCGACTCTGTCTATTCCCCAGATCCCTAAAATCCGAACATCATTGATTTCTATTTGAAGTTGAGATTTTAGTTTCTCTAAATGAGCATTTATTCCCACAACATCTTGCAAAAAAGATAAAGAAAGAGTACTTTTGCAAAATTTGGAAGAGATGTAGTCAACGATCTGCTGAATTTTCTCTGATTCAATCCTACATAAATAAGAGATGATTGTAGAAAATGTGAGGAAGTCAAGTATTAGTAAGTATTTCATATTTTTAATGTTCAAGAGCATATTAAATAGAAAACAGTATTGTTCAGGGTAATAGAAACATATTGTTAAGTTTTTTGACTAAAAACAATTACTCCCCTGTGAGGTTGTGACTTAGAGCCTGCTTGGATGGGCTTTTAAGCTGGTCAAACTGACTTAAAAGTCAGTTTTTGAATTATTAGAATGTTTGACAATTGTCAAAGTAACTTATTTTAAGTCAAAAATGACTTATTTTAAGCCAAAAGTTAAAAGCTAGGTGAGGGGTGTTTTTTTTTAAACTTAAAAGCCCTTTTATGTTGACCAAGTATATTACTTTTTTGCCCTTAATTCTTTTATACAATTCCCAAATTGCCCATATTGAATTAACCCTAACATCTCTTTCCTATTATTATTATTTATTTATTTATTTTTTTTTCTTCTGAAATATGAATTTATATTCCTCTTATAAGTAATTTGTGGTGGTAAAGAAGTATGTGAATGATAGACAATTATTATTACTTATGAATTAAATTAAAATAAATCTTAAATCTTTCGAGTGATCTATTCAAATTATATATTTTAAAATCTAAAATAAGTTGCACATATAAGATTAACTTAAATAATAAATTTATATTCCTCTTATAAATAATTTGTGATGATAAAGAAATGTGTGAATGATAGACAATTATTATTACTTATGAATTAAATTAAAATAAATCTTAAATCTTTCGAGTGATCTATTCAAATTATATATTTTAAAATCTAAAATAAGTTGCACATATAAGATTAACTTAAATAATAAATTTATATTCCTCTTATAAATAATTTGTGATGATAAAGAAATGTGTGAATGATAGACAATTATTATTACTTATGAATAGGAACATATTATCACTTATGGATGTAAAATATAAATTAATTTTGTTTTAATTTTTTTAAAGTATAAAAACCTTGAATTAATCAACTTTTTATCATTTTAACAGCTTTAAGGTATTTCAGACATTTTGATAAAAAAAAATGTTTACCAGCACTTATTTGCCAAACACATCAACAACTTTTTTTTCAACTGTAACACTTTTATCCAAACAAATAACTACTTATTTTAAAAATAAGTTCCAGCACTTTAAAAAGTTACTTTTTTTAAGTCAATCCAAACGGGCTCTTATTTTCATTTTTAGTAAATTCAAAAAAGAATGACACATTTCTATATTAAGTTACAATTTAACTATAAAATATCTATTTTACCTTTAATAAAATAATTTATAGCCACACAAATTTCTATCATTCATTTTGGACCACAAATTTTAAAAATCTTCCTTTTTTTTTTAAAACTCCGTACCAAAACAAACTACCTCACATAGAATAGAACAGAGTATGTGTTTAGTTTCAACTCACCCGTCACGAATATCATATCCTTTTAAATTTGCAGCTACAGTTAGGGAAGTTCTCCATCCTTGCACCTTCTGCATCCCATCAATATCATCTTTATACTTCAATTCATGTTGGGCAAATGCTATTGCAAAGCTTTCACTTTGGTTTCAAACATGTGATGGATCCACATCATAGAAGATCGGTATGACTGTTTGTCCATTTTTTTCCTCTCCTTGCATTCCATGATCTTCACTAATTCATTCAAGCACCACCTTGATTTAGCATAATTTCTTGAGAAAACGATGAGTGCAACTTGAGACTTTTCGATAGCTTTCAAGAGTTCTTGTGGGATGGAATCGCCTTGCTCTAGCCTTTTATCATCTTGAAAGGTGAATATTCCCCTATTTTTCAAACCTTCGTACAAGTGACCTGTAAATGTTTTCTGAGTGTCTTCACCTCTAAAACTTAGAAAAACATCATACTTCCATCAAGGACAGTACTGTGAATCAATTGCAAAAGAAAATGATGATGCCATGGATTCGATTAATTTGTTGAAATTTGAGAAGAAAGATAAGAACTGTGGGGATATATAATATTGGACAACAACTATGAGAAGTTTCTAGGAAGATGGCTCTACTCCAATTGTATTGAATTGTTGCTACGGGGTCCATAGTAATAATATCGATTTTTATATATACATACATATATATATATATATATTCTATATATATATATATAAGCCATAATGTAACTATCATTGTAACTATCTTGTTAGCTTTCAACCAAAAGCTAACAAGATTTTTAGTTACATATTTATTATTTAGTTAAATAATAAATATGTCATTGTATGAGCTATTTATTACTCATTCCTTTTGAATTTGTTAATCTGATTTTGATCTGACACATAGTTTACGAAAGTAAATTAGATTTTGAGAAAAAACATTAAGTGATACTTGAAGTTGTCCAAGATTTTAAAAAAGACAGCTTAACTTTGCGTGCGTCCTATTACCCCACAAAACATTCAAAATCACAATAAATACACATTTTTTACACAATATTTCCACTTTGGACAAAAATATCCTTCGAATGTGCAATTTCTTAAAAACAAAAAGTCAGATCCATTATTGATGTATTGAAGGATGCTTTGGTAATTTCCTATGATGAATTCGTTTTGTTTGTTTCTTTTAAATTTATTTTACTATACTAAATAATTGTATAAAATATTATGAATCACGATAATTAATTACTTAAATATTTAAAAGATATAAAAATATATAAAAGATCTGATTGACTCTTCAAATTTTACCGGTGACACATAAATTGGGACAAATGAAATAATATATATTATTTAAAAATTACTTACAAGGTACAATATTTTAAAGACAAAAAAAATTGATTGAATCTCAAAAAAAATAGATACACGAGCAAGATAGGAGAGTGGAAAACGAAAAAGGGAGATCAAATGTGAACCAAATTTGTCTATGTATCCTAGTTAGATACATGCGAATCAACTTGGATATAATGTATCTAGAACAAATTAATAAACATAATTTTGATCCCATAATCTCGAAATACATGTATTTTGATGGTATCTGAACACACCAAAATCTGATCAGATTCATAATATTACAACATATCTAAATAATTAGCTCATGCATGAGCTAAGATTTTGCATTATAAACATTTCTTTTAGAATAGTATATATCCTCTAGAAGTGGTTGAAACATAATTGCATAGTATATATATATATATATTTCTATTACTATACTATAAGAGGGAATACTATATATGTGATACAAGTAGGAGGTCAACATGCCTGCCTGTCCACCTAGGGATAATTTTGGTACTTTTG